AACCTAAAGGATTCTATTATTCTATGTATGAAGACTCTGGAACGTACTACTGGAAATTCTGTAGCACAAATGTGTACTCACACAGAACAAATATTCCCCCTTCCCAAGTACAGCATTAAAGACACAGCTTACCCTTTCCACTTGCCCTTCTTTGTGCTTCAGTTTGTACACTTTCAGCTTTGGAAGGAATGTCTCTGTGTAGTTCTTGTCTTCCATGCCTTGGAGCAGTATCCCGTGAAACGCCAGCCTGCAGGTATTCGCGTGGATATCTGTATCCAGCTTGGAGCCAATCACAAGGCACAGTCTAGGGCAAGTGACTGGTTTTTCAAACTCTAGCAAAGCCCACTGTTGTCTTGGGAGCTGGGTTTCTGCCTGGTCATTTTCTTTGTTGTCCTCTGAAGAATTTGAGTCCTTGGACAAATATTCCTCTTGGTAAAGATAATCTTTTTCAAAATCAAAAACGTTTTCTTTCATTTCTTCACTGAAGTCAGCGGGGGCTGGACTGAAAAACATCACTCTTCCCATAACTGTTTCATGACCAACTGTGATATGGAACTTGGCCTTGGTCTGAAGAGCTCCTCGAAAATACTGGATTTTTTTCAGGGAAATTATTGCAGCATGGATGGTGTGTAGTGATTCCGGGGTGCAAATCAGGCCTCGTTCTAGCAGTTTAGGATCAAACTGGGTAACACAGATGCCTACTCTGTCACCCTGCATAGCATAAGTCACAGGAGTATGGAACATCTGCATGGACTTGACTTTCTTTGTCACCTATTGATAAAACAGCAAGAAAAAAATGGCAATTAATTACACAAGTACATCACCAGCACCTGCACTCTTGTAAGATGACTGACCTTCTGGAAGAGTCCACAATTGAAAAAGTAAAAAATTAACAGATTAAGAACATATTCCACCATTCAGAATTACCAGAGGTTGGAGCTTCTTAGCTCATTCTATATCTGTTCATGAGACTGTAAGATTATATGGCCATAATTATGTTGATAGCTGCACTATCTGTGCTACAATACCTACATACTACCTGCAAATCAACAGACATGGCCGCACCATGGAACAGATTAATGTACTTCCCTTAAGCACTTGCATCATCAAAAGTGTAGCACTACAACACCCATCAAGCACCTATCTGATTGTTATCCCATTAGTCCTATGAAAATTGTTTCATACATTTGTCTTAGTTGAATTCAACTGTAAAATGTTCAGAACCAAACACCTTCCTTTACAGTGTATTTGTTCAACACCAAGCAGAATCACAGAATGTTAGGGGTTGGAAGGGACCTCCAGAGATCATCGAGTCCAACCCCCTGCCAGAGCAGGGCCATCTAGTCTAGGGCAGGTCACACAGGAACGCATCCAGATGGGTCTTAAAAGTCTACAAGGGAGGAGACTCCACAACCTCCCTGGGGAGCCTGTTCCAGTGCTCTGGAACCCTTACAGTAAGAAGTTTCTCCTTATGTTGAGGTGGAACTTCCTGTGCTCCAGCTTGTGACCACTGCCCCACGTCCTATCGCAGGGCATAAGTGCGAAGAGATTGCCCCTTCCTTCCTGACACCCAGCCCGTATATACTTATACACATTAATTAGATCTCCCGTAAGTCTTCTCTTCTCCAGACTAAAAAGCCCCAGGTCTCTCAGCCTCTCCTCACATGGCAGGCATTCCAGTCCCCCAACCATCACTGCAAAATAATTAGCAATACAAAAATCTACCATCTCTTAGCCTAGAATATTCCATATATTAAAAGAAAAAAAGCCCTCAAAAGCTCCTCAGAGCTTTCTTGTAAAGATCTGCATCTTCATAAATACATGGCTACCATTAGTATAACTGCAATGTGGGGTTCCACCTATTAGGATTATTGTAGGAAAAGTGTAGCAGTGGCTACCACTTAAAATTTATTAAATTCTTCTTAGGTGCTATAAAAATTTGACCTTAATGAGTTTGCTACTCTATTGCTTATTTAAAGGAGTTCTCAAGGAAAAGAAAAGAATGAAATAAAGATCAGTCTATGCTCAGATTGGTCAGGATAAACCAGTTTAGTTTAACAGAGCTTCATTTTTGCTTTTCTTTCAGTTCTGCAAACCACCCCGTAATAAGATTCCCCTTTGCTCCCAGTCTGCACGTGACCAAATGTTTTTTTCTGGCAATATGTTTATGTTGCCACCTGTTGTATTAATACAAAAGTGGGATTCTTGGAGACGTCACCACTCTGCCTGAAGCCTGTACGTTTAGATAGCTTTTAATACTGAAATATTTTTGGCAATAAAACATATTATCTTCTAAATAAATACCAAGTACATGGAAAAAGTCCTTAGTAAAGAGAAGTTATACATAAAGTACTCTTGAAGGGCTGAAATTAAGATTCAGATTCAAGAACTGAACTCTCCGTGGGCATCCTCTGTTCCAGAAAAATTTCTGTAGTATTTTCTTACTCAATGTACAATACTGTGAATTCGTACAGAACAGCAGCATTGCTAAAACACATCTCAACTCTCAGTATAATTTCTTCTTCTCTCTCCCTTAGTACCAATTCTACAGCTATCAAAAAGGTCCGTGTTAAATGCTGTTGTGTAGGTCTCAGCATCCAAGCCAATAGTATCTGCCTTACTCAGCTGGAACTGTTCTCAAATCTACCCCCAACCACTGCACATCCCTTAGTAGCCCACCTTCTAATCCTGGCCCAGCATTATTATCTACTAACTCCTGGAAGTAAGAAATCAAAACACACAAGCACTGATGAAGAGAATCCCAAAACAAAGGATTGGACTATGCAGATCTGAGCTTCATTCTCAGTGTCACACAGCTTAGACCAAACTGTTTAGGTTACACTATTCACAACAGCCCAGAAAAATTAGCCTTTCAATTTCAATCACAGAACTCTTTACTCAAAGCATATTTCTGAAAAATACCAGTTTTTCTGCATCGTGGATGCAACGCCTAAGTAGAAACGGAACTAGTTTTCACCTTTTCTACAAAGTCTGCTGCCCTATATGAAGGGCATATTACTTGGCTTCAGACTAATCTGTTGTATGCCTGTTTCCAACATCACCAAACTATACAATGCTAAGAGAAAACTGTAGAGGAAAAAAAAATGGAAAAAAAAAAAACTCAGAAGGGAACAAATTGCAGAAACTTAGATCAAAATAGAGGAGTAGATGAAAAGTCTATTGGCTGAACTAAAACCTTCAGTAAGTGGAACAAGAAGAGCTCTCCAAATAAGTCAGCAAAAAATGGTCACAGGCAGTATACAGAAAGCTGATTAGAAAAAGGAAAAAATCTAGCAGCTACATGGCCTCCAGAAAATAACAAAACCCCTGAATTCCTTCTTGACATCATAATTATACAAATAACAATGGCTATGAGCTTCGCCACTAGAAATATTGTTTGGATTCCCTGAATCTCTCTCTGCTAACCAAAACCAAAAGAAACACCCTTTTCCAGATTACATAAATTATTATTGCAACACTTTTCAAATCAAATGCCACATCAGTGCCTGCAGACTCCACAGAATATTATAAGGAACGAGATCAAGAGGTGTGTTTATGTAAGAGAAAAACCTCCCACTCAAAAGCCTGGACCAAAATAGTTTGGGATGACCTTAATGTCCGAACTGACTTAAAAGGCTATTCTAAATGCTCACTAGATTCCAGTTTCAAGCATTTTTATACTCATATTTATTATCCTTTTAGCCAAGTTGCCTAGACAGTACTACCTATCTAAATGAATTTTGAAGAAACAATTTAGCGTTTACCTCCACCTCTCTATTCACTTTCAAGGTTGTAATTTTGAAGACTAGAAGTACAGGGTCTGGAATCAAACCCTTCCTTCATTTGCTCACTGTAACCTGCCCTTCCCTTCCCTTCACCAGTTCAATCACTGTAGTAGCTGCAACACTGGTGATAGAAGTAATGTTGAAGGATTTAAAAAAAAACAAAACAAAACAAAAGATCCCAAGTTTTTCTAAACAGGTTTCAAAGAAATAAGCACTACAAGACTGAAATTGCCATATGAAAAATACCAACCGCAAACATTTGGAAAGGACTTTTGTGACCTGATATGTGACAATACTGATGGTTAATCTTTCATCTTCTACAGCCATGGACATGTTGAATAAACTAACAAAAACAAAGGAGTCTTCTGTCACTATCACTCCTCAACAGAAAAACAGAAGATGCACAAGAGATCTACACAGTTTTCCATCTCAGAGTCACAATATAAAGATGTTTTTTCTTTTCATTATTAATATTCCAGTTTATAACATTACTTTTTAGAAACTTACCACCTAAACAGTTAAGTGAAATGATTACAAGAAATATCTGCCAGTCTCTAAAGCAGACTACACATATTCATCTGAAATAACTTTCATGGTATTCAGATGACATTAAAGAATAAGAACTGTGTTTAAAAATACCTAGTCTTGTGTGCATATACTCAGAATACATCTTAGCTTTTTATTAGGCATCTATAAAACATTGCTCAAAAGCATTATGCCTGATCTCTTCACTTGAATTAGCTCAAATGACCAGGCTTGATGCAGTTGACACACAACCCATCCGTAACTATCAGGAGAACTTATAAGTATTTCTAAAATATTCACTTCTTCAGAAGTGAAGGGCCTGACTTTCAGAGAGTTCTGCTCATCCTCAGGCATGTGAAGGGCAAGACACTGAACTACTCAGCCTACTGCAAGTCAGCACTTCATGCTGACCTGCCCCATTACCTTGCTTGTGATTTAATCAGCCTATCTGTATTTGTTTTGAGTATAAACATTTTTCCCCCCCCCGTATTCATGTTATCTTCCCATACCTAAAGTTCCCATGTATCAGAGGGCAGAAGCAAATGGGGAGAACACATTCAAGCCCATTCCTTTTTTCCTACGTGTTCTCAGCATCAGAATGAACTGTAAAAGAATTATACAGCACAGTACTTTAACTGACCACAAACTCTGTTCCAAGAGCATAACATACAAAGGAATTAGAATCTGGCCAGAACAACGCTGGAGTGCGCTTTAGGTGATTGGGAGTGTGTGTGGATTAGATCACACGAGAACTGAGTTGGAATTGCATCTCCTTCAAAAGGTCAGATGTGGAACCAGCAGAGAAGTGAATCAGAGAGTTGATCTGCACCCACTGGATCAAATAACAAGAGCCAGAGTAGCTTTAAATCACCAACTTCCTGTTTTCTGAGCAGACCATGAACATTACTACAGTATTTCATTCCATTTCACTCTGACCCCAACTGACATAAAGACATTTGTCCATGGTTTAAAATACTCCAAATATAGGGTTTTCCTTCAAAAGACAGAAGTACACAACTAAAATTCATCTTTGTTTTGTCTGGCTTTTAAAGTAGAAACCTTGAAACAGTGACAAGGATGCAACTGGCCCCCAGTATTAGATTTCTCTTACACATACCTAGTTTCCATATGTAAGGATCCCCACAAGTTACAGCACAGTTCTAAACTTTCACATATTTTCTTTAGCTTTACAGCAATAGAAATTTGAAGTAGGGAGTTGAGGCTGGATCACTCAGTCCACCCATCTACCAACCAAATGATATTAAATACTTCAGAAAATCATGTCTTGAGCTATAAGAGCTCGTAACTGACACCAACTATGACCAGTACCCTTTGGCATTTCTTTGCGTTTATTTCAAGCATCCAATTTTTGTCCTCAGAATGCTGCCTATGAAAGCACTTCTATCTCATCTTATCCATGACAATAGTGCAATGCCCATTTTAGCAATCCGCTAAATAGAG